GCCAACTGAGGATCAACCTCAATAGGGTGGCTCTATTGCTGGTCGCTCTTACAAACCACGAAATAGAGCGATGGCGCATGCCAATCTGATGAACAACTACTTCAACCCTAACTCGGTGTACACAAAAGAGGATTTCAGACGTCGGTTCCGGATGAGGTGTCATGTCTTCGAGCATTTACTTCGTGATTTCCAGCAGGTCAATCCATACTTTCGACAGAAGCGGGACAGAGCAAGCTACCCTGGTTTCTCACCTCATCAGAAGGTTACTGTTGCACTTTGAATGATGGCCTATGGCTCCCCAACTGATACGATGGATGAAACCCATGGTATGTCTGAGTCTACATGCCTTCATACTCTTGAACAATTCTGTGACACAATTGTTCAGGTTTACAAAGACGAGTACCTCCGCGAGCCAAATCAAGAAAATCTGAATCGGCTCTTTCGCAAAGCTGAAGACCGTGTGTTTTCGGGCATGATAGGGTCATTAAACTGCATGCATTGGGATTGGAAGAACTGTCCCACCGGATGGCAAGGAGGCTTTAGCAGAATGTCGAGAAAGCCAACTGTTTTGTTAGAGGCAGTTGCTTCATATGACACATGGATCTGGCATGCTTTCTTTGGAGTCCCTGGATTCCAAAATGACATTACAGTTCTTGGGCGTTCACCCATCTTCAATAACTTGTCGGAAGGTAAAGCACCTCAACTTGACTACTACATCAATAGTCGTCAATACAATATGAGGTATTACTTGGCAGATGGCATCTACCCAAAGTGGACGACACTTGTCCAAGCAATTCCAAACCCTAGAATGAAGCAGAAAAGTTGTTTACTTTACACCAAGAGGCATATCAGAAAGATGTTGAGAGAGCTTTCGGTATTCTACAAGCAAGGTGGAAGATCATAAGCGAACCGACAAGAGGGTGGAATCGAGAAAATTTGGACTCCATCATGATGTCTTACATCATATTACACAATATGATAGTGGAGGATGAGCGAGATGGGTATATTGATAGAGAGTCTGATGACGACCAAGAAGATCCAAATAGGTCAAGAAGGGCTCGTGCAAAAATATATGATGGGCCTAATTTGCCTTTCAATCCAAGAACTGGTAGTATCTCTATAAATGAGTACATGAGGAGCTATAGAATGATACGTCATCATGCCACAAACAAGTACCTACAACAGGATCTTGTTGCACATCTTTGGGCCAAAAGAAGCATGGAGTAGGCGTTTAAGTTTTATGTTGTTAAATGTTTTCAAAAATGTTGTTTAAGTTTCATGTTGTTAAATGTTTTTTTTTTATGTTGTATAATTTGTATGTTGGTTAATGTTATTTAATGTTGTTTCATGTTACTTAATTTAATTTAATGTTGTATAATGGCTTAGGAAGTTATAGGAAACAAATATAATTTTAAAAAAATATGAAACAAATTCTGTGAAATAGAAGTTACTAGCAGAAGGCTAAAACACTCTTTTAATTGATCTAACAATAGGCTAATAGGATTACCTAAAGCATTAGAGACTGCAACAATTAGAGAGTCTAAAGATTAAAGTTATTGTTGAATATCCTTGAAAAACATTTTCAGTAAATCTGTTGAGGAAAATATAGAAACTTAGGATGCTATGCAATTCCATCATCCAGGATAGCACATAATACCTGGAATCCAACCTTAAGCCAACATTTTTCTATCTATAGCATCCATCATACCTAACACATTTCTCAGTAGGGGCACATGAACAATCATAATTGAGATTTCATAAGTTTATTTTTTGTTAACTATAATGAAATTTATAAAACAATTTTAGCAAAACTCGAGTCTAGATAATGGAGTTTTGTTCCAGTTTAACAAATATTGACTTGTGTTCTAAGCAACATAATGCATTCACATTTCAATTGTCAGAGGGCATCACAATAATCCCCGATTAAAGATATTAAAAATCAGAACTTCTTCTCCAAGTTTTCATTCAGTTTATTTCACTTGTCCATCAGAATTTTTTTCAAAGAATGATCAAATAAAGACAATAGCATGCCAAAGATTAAAAATCCTCATTTCAAACTTTGCTAATGCATAGCTATGTTTGGTTTTCTTCTCTAGAGACCAGACTGAGAGAGGAGTCAAGTTCTCTAGTACACTATAAATCTCCCGTTCGAGAAACCATCACCACCTCACTCGCCACTCCCTCGATGCACCAACTTACCACCACCCTCATGTCTCACTCCCTCTCTACTACTCTCCCTATTTCCCTCACCTCTATCTCTCTCTCTCTCTCTCTCTCTCTCTCTTGATACTGTGCTCGCTACACAAAAATAGCAAGGCGACGACCGTCGCCATTTTTCACGGAGAACTACGCCACCATGAAACCACCACCATTAATCTCGCCACCTACGCAACTTTTACCATCCCCGAACCAACCCTCTGCAAACTGCCCTTATCCCTTCTAATTTCAGTTCTTGTATTTCTTGTATGGTAACCATTTCTTGCACACTCAAATATTTATATACCAACTGAGAATAACAATATAAATCCTACACCCACCTCTTTTTCCCTACTTGAAAAATTCACCAAAAAAGTGACATTAACCACCATAGTTTAAGAATCCAGACCCCAAATTTCAATCTAATTAATTAAATTACAGAGGATTCTATCTACCTCACGAAAACAAATATGATCAGTTAAAGAAATTCCCTAATCACTGCATCTTAAACTACTTCTTAACTATGTTAGCCATACCAATCTAATAAAAAATCCATGTTCAATCAATTCTTATTAATTCCAACTCCAAGTATTTCAACATCTAGATTATAGAAAATCACAACAAAACAAAACTCAGAACACCCAGATTCCAATCTTGGTGCTAAAGCACACTTTGTTAACCTCACCTTCATCAAGTCCATGATTCCTACCATGAGATCTTTCTCTCTATCCAGACTTGGCTTCAGCTGCAAGATCAAAATAACGAAGCATTCAGTTCCTTTTCTATACTCATAAAATTAAAAATTGAAATATGTTATAATTGACTCGGAATCTTCACATGTATTATGAAAGCATATAAACAGATACAATTGAAAACTTATAACTCTACCTACTAAAGTTGAAAAGTAGCTAATTAAGATCAAGTTCTAGGCATCCAGTGAGCCTTCCAGGGAAAGATGGCCCCATGGACTTAGACTTTGAAAACTGAGGCTTGGTTTGCCTTGTAATTGTATAATCAATAGCATCCTTATGGATTGCAATTGTATGATCAGTAGTATCCTTATGGATTCCCAGATTAATCCTCAAAATTTTGTTCTCATCCGTTAGCTTATGCACCTTGGATAAAAGCCACTCAATTGTTTCACTATTCTCCTTGTTTCTCCTTATCAACTCAGCCCGGTGCTGCATATTTTCGTCAATGAGCTCCGAGATCTGTTCGTGCAATATTTTATCTTTTTCAACCACATTACCATCACATTCTACACCATGATCAATATTCTCTTCTTCCATATATTCTTTGAAAGTACACAAACCAACCTTTTTTAGGACATACCAGCATTTGTTTGTTTTAATGGCTCTGATTTTGGTTTCCATTTTCTCTTTTGTGGTGGTTTGGTCAAGATGCACTCCAAAACACTAATTTGAGTGCCTACACAGATGAACATCGAATTATAGGTCGTACCCAGTGCACAGATGAACATCGAATCATAAAAAAAAAAAAATCCAAAACAGCAGCAGAGATAAAAAAAATGATAATAATTCTAAAAAAAATTAAATCAAAAGCTAAGACTAACTCACAGGAAGCTCCGTGAGTTGATTTTTGGGCAAAAAAAATTCTATCAATGCATTCTCATACAAAAATTTCTTTAAATACTGATTTAATGCAGTCGAGGAGCTAAATGCTTAAATCAGAAAAAATTCATCAACCAGATACTCCTATAGTGCAGTGCAGCAAACCGTTTCTTGAACCTTGACGTATATCACTATAAAACTATCCCAAATATATCTCAGAGATTGCAGAAATTCAGACTATCAATAATGAGACAGCCGGAATGTTTTACCCTAATCTTCTTAGGATTTTAACTAAACAACTTGTTCCTGTAACAGCTATATTAAAGCATAAATATTCATGAACACTCATCACCAATAGCAAAAAGGCACAAAGTACTTTTACAGAAATCTAAAGATCCCTTTTATGCCCCAAACCCAGGTATGTCCTCTCTTTGCCTTCCTCCTTCAGGGCATAATTAAAGATACCCACCAACAATATAACAAAAAAAAATTGCAGTGAGAATTTAAAATACCAACTTTATTTGATATTGCAATGAAATATAACAAAAAGTAAAATAAAAACAAAATGTACAAAATTCATTATTTTTGTAAATTAGTAGTGAAATAACAGAAGAAGCCAAACCCAGAAAAATTAAAAACAAAGAATCACAGTAGAAGAAACACACCATTTCAGATCTTTTTATCCTCTTCGAAGATCGATCGATTCCATAGAGAGAGAGAGAGAGAGAGAGGAGGGAGACGAAGAAGGGGAGAGGAGGTAGACGGAGGCGAGAGGAGGAAAACAACGGAGGCGGTTTACCGAAAGCATGTCTTGTCTTGTGTTGCTAGTCAATAAGTCAGTGTAATCCTCACAAAATCCCTCACTCCATCGGGTCAGTGACAACCTCCCCCAATTTTCTCCCTCTCAATCTCTCAATCACCGACAACTACCCATTAATTTAGGCTTCTATTGGCAATTTTGACACATCCCTCAATCCCGACACCAACGCTTGATTTGAGGAGAAAAAATCAACCATAACCCCTTTTTATGGCAACCTCACTCCTCCCTTTCCCTTCCCCTCCCTGCCATCCCCCGCCTATCTCCCTCTCTTTGTCTCTGCAGCCCATGCTTTTTGGCAATGGCAGGAATGTAAATAATACAAAATCGAAGGTCCAACACACGTTGATATGTCATCATGATTTCCAATTGAACAATGAATTCTAGAATGTAAATCATACCTTAAGTATAAGAAAACCCAGAAAAGGAAAATTAAATCCCTCACAAATGGTGCAAGAAAATATGAGAAACCTATATTAGTCCCAACGGTGAGAGTTTTCATCAAAGAAGTAGACAATCCACACGCTAAATCACCAATCAAACATGAAGATGATCACAAAGAAGAAATCCCTAAAGCCAATATTTTATTAGAGTTGAAAATCGAAATTAAGCCAAAACGGAACCTACACTACCCAAATTAAGCTAAAAATTCACTAACCCTACAAAAAGGCAAAGAAAAATCACCTCTAGATGACTGCCATTGATTCAATGCAAAGAGAGCTCAAGCTGCTTAATATTGTTCTGAAATTAGAGAGAAGGTGTGAGAGATCATGAGAGGACGGAGGGGCGAATGGCGGAGTGAGATTCAGCGCGTCTCTTCTCTGCATATAAAAGATGCCACACAATTATGCAACTTACTCCGTAGACTTATAAACATCACAATTATAAATTCTGAAACTAATATAAATTGAATAGACAATACACAAAGCATAAACAAATTCAGCATATGAACACCAAAACTTACCAAACTCATGTGCTTGCTTGAAGCTGTTTTTGATCATTTTTCTACAATCTACTGCATAAAAAGGACCAAACTATATATATAATTTGCTATAATACCCAAAAAATTAAATTAAATTAACATTTGAGTGGAAGCCACAACCAAAGAGGTAAAATTCAAGAAAACATCAAAATCCCAGAAGAAAAAAAAAAATTCTTTCAGAAAAAATCAAAGAAATTTACTCAGGTAATCAATCAATTATGTACCTAATTCCCCTGATGTCTTGAATAAATATAACACTCCAAGATAAATTAACTACCCAATATTAATTTTTCCTGTTTCTTTCTTCTTATTCTCGGGAAAGAAACAAACCCAAAAACAAATAATTGAAGAAAACATATAGAAAATATTGGGGAGGAGTAACATACAATCTGCTGAGTTCTTGTTCGCTTTGTAGATAAGAGATGGTGGCTTCTCATCGAGTTCATGTATGTATTGCCTGGAGTGAGATGGTGAGCGGGCGTGAGAGAATAGGGCAGTGAGAGAGAGTCGGGAGAGAAAAAGAGGGAAAGAAATGGGGATGGAAACGGACGGAAATGTAGTCGAAGCAGAGCAATCCACGATGACTGACGCGTGGGGGCTCTTAAACTGTGCAAAAATGGTGGTAATTTTGTAAATAAATTGAAATTTTCAATTTGCGGTGAAGAGATGATGGTAATATTGTAAATAACTCAAAATCCAATCCAAGTTACTATTCATTTGAATAGTGCAATAGCAAAGCCTTCTTTAGACTAAAGTAATAATAGGACAAAAAAAAAAATTTAAAAATATGAAACAAATTTTGTGAAATAGAAGTTATAGGAAAAAAATAGAATTTAAAATAAAATGAAACAAATTTTGTGAAATAGAAGTTATAGAAAAAAATGGAATTTAAAAAAAAATATGAAACAAATTTTGTAAAATAAAAGTTATAGGAAAAAAAATAGAATTTAAAAAAATATATGAAAACTAGAAGTTATAGGAAAAATTTTGTAAATAAAAAGTAATAATAAAACTGTAAAAAAAAAAAATCAAAAGCAACGGCTAACTGACGTCAGTTAGCCATTGCATTTGAATTTTAGCTTAAACATTCATGTCGGTTATAACCGACATGATTAATGTTTTTTCTGGCCAGCCTCGGGTTAGCTGGCTGGATGCATGCAGCCAGCTCTTTGGTCATTTCAGATTCCGTGGGGCCCTCTCAAATTCCACGAGCCTTCTGGCCTAGCCCTCGGTTAGAGACGATTTTCGGGCTATTTTCAACCCTCTGGCCCTCTGGCCAGCCCTCGATTGAAGATGGCCTAAAATCTTTTCATCTTGACTTAGAATACTTATGTTGGGGCCTGCCGAGGCTTAACGGCTAGCTATATCTAGCCTGCCCTTGGCTAAACCTAACTCTGATTCTTTTTAGTAGATTCATTTTGGCCTTGGCTGGAAACCTGTCTTGCACAACTACTTGGGGCTAAAAATGGCCTATAACCCATGGTCTAAGATGATCTTAAGTTAATATAGTACAAAAGTGACTAGAATTAATGGTAATGTGTTTGCTTGGTGTTATAGGTTGGCTATTTTATTAAACAGGTATTGTAATCCATTTTTTGTGCAATCGCCTTTTGGGTTTTCTACTGATTGTTTCTACATAAACTAATAGTGACAGAATTCTGTTGTTTTAGAAATCTTGCTTCAACATCTCAGTTTCAGCCTTTGACGTATTCTTTCAACACTCCAATTGTCTTTTGTTTTTTGTGCGCCTGAGTTATAGAGTGGATGTGGTGAAGGAACTGCACTAAGTCATATTTAGTCGTAGGGTTTCACAAATTAAGGAGATTCACTTGGAGAAAGAAGATGGCACGGGTATGTTCTACACACAACTCTAGTTGTTCGAAGACTGTCAATCTAGGTTTCTTATTGTCTTTTGTATGCTTCAAGTTGTCAGCGTGGAGACTAAACTCACTGCCAAAACAAGAGGAAAGATAAGCAAACAAATGAACTTGTGAAAGGTAATTAACATAAGATTATCCTGGAACGTATAGATTATGCCATTTTTCCAGTGGTTTCTTTAAATTTCTTAGTATTACGTTGAAATGAAGCAAAGCTTATTTATTGATATCTCCGATAAGTTGCAAATATGTACGTATACATGAGTCAAAATAAACAAACAAGAGGGAGCCTTCACAAATGTTGCTTAGGAGAAGTCTCAGCAGTCGGTAGAGCCCCAGAAAGAGAAGGCACCGGAGGGGGATTATTCGGAGCCTCAGTTCTGGACAGAACCCTAGAATGAGGAGGCATCGGAGGTTGATCATTTGGAGCTTCATTATGCGGTACAGCCCCAGAAGACGAAGACAATAAATGCCTTTAGAACAAACCCACAAACCTCTGATGATCATGTAAAATCTGACCATCAGATTCCTTCATCTGGTCAAGCTTCCTCTTCATGTTTGTAGCATAGTCATGTGCGAGCCAGTGCAACTGTTTATTCTCATGCTTGAGCCCTCTAACCTCATGTTTGAGACTCATCACTTCAGCCGCCAATGATTCAACTTGGTGGGTTCGAGCAAATAGGCGTTGGGCCATATTAGACACAGAACCTGCACACTGAACACTGAGAGCTAGAGAATCCTTAACAGCTAACTCATCAGACCGTTTGGAAAGTAGTCTGTTATCTTTGGGAGTGTGAAGGTTCCTGGCCACTACCGCAGCGGTCATATCATTATTCATCACAGAATCCCCAATAGTAAGAGGACCAGTAGGGGATAAGAAGGATGGGCGCCATATGTTGCCTAGAGAAGGCGTGGCTGCCTCTTCAACAAGGTTCAAGTCAAAACGACGGTCGGAGGGGCCAAACATTTACAAAAGTGTTGAAGAGAGAAGAGGTCGGACAAATCAAGATCTTAGAAATGCAAGAAGGGAGCTTCTATTGGTGGAGATTCAAGTGTGCTTTGGAACTTAATGCCAGCCTCTAAAAAAATCTGCACTCAACGGAGCTTCAGAATTCGAAGAGGCGCCGGCTTAGAAATCGAAAAGGCGTTTGCTTTCTCAAAAGCTGGGCTGCTCAAAGACCACGAAGGCCGATCGCAGAAATCTAAAAGGCGCTCGCTTTCTCAAAAGCTGGGCTACTCAGAGACCACGAGGGTTGATCTCAGAAATCGAAGAGGCACCTGCTTTTCCAGCCTGGTCAGCACTTGTCACATGCACACTCAACTTTGCGGAAATTATGGGCATTCTGTCGAAGATTTCTGGTGAAGTAGAAAGCACGTGAATGTTACTGTTCAATCATCCACTTTCCACACGCAACATCAGCTCACGGGTACCACAGATAACTTTGCCAAAGATCTCTGACAAAGTTTAGAGACGTGAAGCTTGCAGCTCTCATTACATCGCTATGACCAAGAAGGGTAAAAGAATAGCAAAGAAACAACACTAACAAAGTTTAGACACATAAATTTTGAAGGTCTAGCTACCATATTATTACCCACAAGGGTAAAGGAACAGGACTACTGCTGGATAATTGGAAAGTCCCTGTGTGTCAACCTCTGTGCTCCGTGGCAAGGTAGACTAGCAAACAGGCCCAACCTTTACTCACATTCGAGAAAACACTCCTAACAAGATTGCTTGCTTCAAGATCGAAGAGGCACCGCCTTTCAAATCTCGAGAGCCAAACTCCCAACATGATTACTTTCTCAAAAATCGAAGAGACACCGGTCTCCGAATCTCGAAAGCCAAACTCTTAGCAGGATTGCTTTCTCAAAAATCGAAGAGACACTGTTCTCCGAATCTCGAGAGACAGATCCTCGACAGGATTGCTTGTTCGAAAACCAAAGAGGCACCGCTTTCTCAACTTCGAGAGCCAGATCTCCTTGGATAAAGCTTGTCTGTAATCTTCACACCGTTTTCTCAACTTCGAGAGCCAAATCTCCTTGGATAAAGCTTGTATGTAATCTTCACACGCAGCATCAGCTTTCCAGATATCACAGACCATTTTTTCAAAGTGCTCTAACAGAGTTAAAACACATGAAGCTGGCAGCTCCCACTACCGTGCTATGACCAAGCAGGGTAAAGGAATAGTATTACTACTTGTTGTTAGGGAGACTCCTATATATGTCGACCTCCATCCTCAACGGACAGGTAGACCTGCAAAAATGCTCAACCCTTCCTCATATCTGAGAGGGCACTTCTAACGAAGCCTCTCGAAATACTCAGCTTTATTTCCCCCCGAGAATACCTCTGCAAACAAGCTACACCAGAACAAGAATATCTCATATCATCAGGGTTAAAAGCAAGAGTATCCCATATTATACTTTTTCCCTGTCTTTTCCTTTAGCCCTGTTCTTACCTGCAAGACAATGAGAAGGAGAGCAATCAGTCAGCATTTAGAATCAAGCTTCCAGTCAGGAACTGACTGCCTGGAACCCCTTACCTGATTACTTACCTGGCATTGCTCTCGAGTACTCATCTTCAACATCTATGCTTCCAAAGAAGATATCACATCTGCCTGAGGAACATATAGGGCAAGTGAGAAAGATACAAGGAAGCATGTGGAGACAAGCGTAACAGAACACGTGCCGATACATCCACTACTTTGTCAATAGCAAAAGTATCCCATATCAGCAGGGTCGAACGTACTAGATTTGATGGACTTGTTTTGACCCTCAAATTCTTCAGTTGGCCTTATACTGTGGAGGAAACCAGAAAACCCTCCAGCCCAGTTCAAGAATAAGCCTGTGCAAAGTTACTTATTCAAAAGCAAAAGTATCTCATATCACCTATTCTCCTTTTCTTCTCTTTATCCTTCATGCTGCTTGCAAGATAGGGAGAATGAGAACAATCAGCCGGAACTCGAAATCAAACTTCTGATCTGGGACTGATTGCTTGGAGCTCTGATTGCTTACCTTGTCTGTCACCTCTTTCAGCAGATCCCCTAGCTCGGCGACTTGGGGGATTCCTACTACATGGTTTGTATCGCGCTTGACCAAACCTGAAACTACAAGTAAGCTTCAAGTGAAATTGATACATTACCTTGTGCATCTCCACCAGTTAAAGATACCACCCCTGGATGGAGGAAGAGTACTTCCAAAGAAGATGCCACATCTACCTATGAGACAGATAAGACAAGTGAAGACGATACCACACTTCGGTACTTAGAAGTTTCGTGATTACGAGATCATTCTCCCACAATATTTCCTAATGTCATTTGTACTAAATCATTCACTAGTACTCACTAAAGGAGAGTTTGAACCTATGTACTGTGTTCACAATTAATGAGAACTCTTCTACTCCGTGGACGTAGCCAATCTGGGTGAACCACATACATCTTGTGTTTGCTTTCATGTTTCTATCCATTTACATACTTATCCACACTAATGACCGGAGCAATCTAGCGAGATCACAAACTTAATACTTTCTGTTGTACCAAAGTCCTCACTGCTTTTGTGCATCAACAATCCGTAAGTCCTTACCTTTTTGCGTTGGTAATGGATGAGTTAACAGGACATATTTAAGATGATATTCCTTGGTGTATGCTTTTCGCAAACGATATAGTGTTGATAGATGAAACTCAGGAAGGGGTAAATGCGAAGCTTAACCTTTAGAGAGAAGTGTTGGAATCTAAAGGTCTTCGCCTAAGCCGATCAAAGACAGAATATATAGAGTGCAAGTTCAGTGCAAACGGAGGCCAAAATGAGTTAGGGGTGAGGATCGGAGATCAGGAAATACCAAAGAGCGACCGTTTTCGCTACTTAGGATCTATCTTGCAAAAGAACGGAGAATTTGATGGAGATCTCAACCATAGAATAGAAGCTGGATGGATGAAGTGGAAGAGTGCATCTGGCGTGTTATGTAACCTTCGTAGGCCACTGAAACTCAAAGGAAATTTTATACGATGGCAATAAGGCCGGCGATGCTGTATGGCACAGAATGTTGGGCGGTGAAGCATCAACACGTAGGTGTAGCGGAGATGAGGATGTTTCGTTGGACGTGTGGGCACACGAGAAATGATAAGATTAGGAATGAGGATATCCGAGGTAAAGTAGGAGTAGCCAAAATTGAAGGAAAGATGAGAGAAAATCGGTTACGGTGGTTTGGACATGTGCAAAGAAGGCCTACTGACGCTCCGGTTCGAAAATGTGACTACGGGACAGAGGTTCAGGGCCGAAAGGGTAGAGGAAGACCTAGGAAAACTTTGGAAGAGACCCTAAGAAAAGACTTAGAGTACTTGGATCTAACGGAGGACATGACACAAAACCGAGCGCAATGGCGTTCTAGGATTCATATAGCCGACCCCACTTAGTGGGAAAAGGCTTTGTTGTTGTTGTTATTTTAGAAATAGCCTGTGAGAATATGGTGTCATGGTGGTTCCTTTCTTCGTCTCATTGACTGTTATGATCAATCGGTATTTCAATGTCAAGTTTAGTTTTGACCAGTGACCGTGTATTGATTTAGTCAGAAAGAAGCTGGTATACCTAAAAAAAAAAGGGAGTTTTAACGAAAAGCCCACGGTACTGTTCACTTTAACAAAAAACCACATTTTTACACTAAAAAGTCAAACCTGGTGCTATTCACTTTGCCCTTTATTTTGTCCTTATCATTAAAACTCAAAGTTTTAAAGCCCTTTTCATTAGTTTTTCTAAAAAAAAAATCATCAAGATTGAGGACATCCCTGGATTGAGTAAGTATATTATTTTGCTTAAGTAGTTATTTTATTTTCTTAACTTGCGATAGAGTACCCTCCTAAAGTGTCTTTCCAGGGGCTGGAAGCAATATGATTTTGTATGCAATATGCGAAATACAAATTATACAATACATGAAATGCCGCCATTTGAGGTGCATCGACTATTTTCGCCAGTATAAATAAAAGACGCATATATAGGAATATCATAATTAATTTAAATTTAAATTTATATAGTCTGACTTTCATATTTTTAAGAGATTTTTAATCAAACCCTCCCAGAACTGTTCACTTTAACGAAAAATTATATTTTTACTCTAAAAAATCAATCATGTTACTATTCACTTACAACATTTTTTCGTCATTTTCGTTAAAATCAAAGTTTTCAAGCCATTTTCATTAATTTTTCTTATTTTTAACCCTATGTCCTACTCTCAGTATCAAATGCATCCTTACCAAATAAATTTTAATTTGCAGAGACTATGCATGACCATGTTGATGCCTGGCCTTTTAAGGAACCAGTCGACGTACGTGATGTTCCTGATTATTATGACATCATAAAAAGATTCCGTGGATAAGAAGGACAATTTCTTTACTTAATTTCAGCGATCCGCAGAGAACGTAGTTGAATTGTGCCTGGAATTGTTCCGCATGCTTTCATGGAAACCGTAATTTGAATATTTGATTTCTGATCAATCTTGTTTTGATGGTAGCTTGATCATAACCTGCTGCACGTTGTCATTGGCATCCTGAGTGGTGAAATTGCCAAGACTGCTTAAATTTCGAAAGTCGGCATGATGTTGAGATAGATGTTTGTAATTGCGCATATCCTATCAAGCATACGAAGCTTTTAATGGACATTTAATATTGGTGGGAGGGGCAATCAAAATCATTTGTTGTACACTCAAATATTGGTGGGAGGGGCAATCGAAATCATGACCCTAAAATGTTCTTAACTACTTGAGCTACAAGTCTTGTTCCAAGATGTGTAATTCTCGTATAACTCCGACATGGTTGTGGCACAGTGTTTAACAAGAAAAATAAAGTTCATTTATGGCAAATTCTAACAGGAACAAAGACGGAATTGAAATTTAAACTGAACGAAAACAAAAGGCCAAAGTATAATCCCGCTAATAAACACATAACTTCAATCAGCCGTTTTACCCCTTTCCTGAAAAATAGGAAGGCCCCTACATCCGGTTCTACTTCTTATTCTTTGGGACGGCGTGAGGGAGCTGAGGGTCCCAACCTGGCAATGCTTCACCCACTCCTGGCCGTGGCTGCTGCTGCTGCGGCATGTGATCTATGTTGCCTGTGTGCGGCATTGAAGAGTTGTGAGCCATGTTGCTTCCAGTGATGACTGGTTGGCCCGCATTACCCTGTCGGTTCCCAACTAGAGAGATTGGGGAGTTCGCGTGAAAGCCAGTCTCCAATCTCTGGTGATGCAGAGGGGTAGTGGTCATACTAGGAACTCCCGGATGAAAGAGCTGGTTAGAGTTTGGTTGCATTGGCACAGCAGCATTTGTGGATGCATTCATTGGGTTGCTCACGGGCGGCATGCCTGCGTTAGCTACATTTGACATGGCTAGAAGTAGCGGATTGATCCCTGTCACTCTTTTCACAGATTCTTCTGCCATTTTCACCTGATTTTTGTTTATTCAAATATATATCACCTTGAATCAAATAAGAGAACTGAATTAACAGTACACAGAGTATTGAATGAGAAAAATATGCAAACGACTACAAATTGAAAACACAGAAAGTCTTAGCGGCTAACCTTTGCTCTTAACGTTTCAATATCAGCTCTCAATATTCTGTTGTCAACAGCAGCATTATCATATTTCTGATTCACATCAGTGAGACGTTTTAACAGCCCAGAGTGTTCAACCCTTAGCTGACCAACCTGAAGGAACCCAAACATAAACTTCTTAATCTTGTCTATTACACACAAAACTTGGAAATATCAAGAAGCGATGATGATAATTATTGCTAATTCACATTTTGAAACAAGGAGCAGCACCTGTGTCTCAAGTTCACTCATTTGGGCTTGTTTTCTTCTTCTAGAGCGTCTTGCGGACTCTCGATTGGACAGCATCCTGAGCACCATTAACATGTCAATTGATAAAGGGCTAAGTTTTTAGATGTAGCAATATGGTATTAAGTTGCATATCGAGAGTATATGTTGATTTCCTGACAATGTTTACAACAAACCTGTTGTCAAACAAATTCATCAGGTGAAAAAACATGCAGCAGACAACATATCCCTCCTTCCAAATCAGATCATTTGCTTCGACAAATTGAAGTTTTAAATTTTTGTTCGGACAAACTAAAGTTTTGAACTTTCTACTAATCTTTCTTGCATACAGGGGATCATATTAACCATCATCCATCATGAAGGCAATTATGTGTTGATGCCCTTCACGTATCAATTATTGTAGAGAAATTATTACTCAGGTCGATAAAGCCTAAATAGCAACTACTCATCCCTCTTGCACACAGGACAAATATTAACCATCATCCAACAAGAAGGCAATCAATGTGCTGATACCCTTCATATATCGATCATTGTAGAGAAATTATAACTCAAGTCAATTAAGCCTAAACACCAACTATTACTTTGAAACCAGTGAAAAACCCTAAACATTACACCAAGATATGAAACAAAACTACCTAATAGTTGCAAAACTAGGCAAGCAAAGAAATGGGTTACCTCCTAGCACGTTTCACATCAGAGGGATCCATATTCTCATTAATCTCAATGTCTCCTTCGAGATCATCATCATCCGAGTCCTCTTTCGATGATCCACTCGTTGTTTGCTTACTCAGTACCGGAGTTCTTCTCTGAGCAGCAGGTAAAGCCGAAACGCCATGCGGGCTAGTGTCAGCTTCATTTTGTGGAACTGGCAAAGCATTACCAGCACCTAGCAATAGCTCAAATCAAATGGTTTTCGAATGTTAGACACAAATATAAGAATCGTCAACACATCTCAGAGAAATGCTATGGCAAAAGTTCCCAAATTTAATTTATAAACAACCTAATTACGAAATTAAACACCTAAATCATTGCAGATTGCGAAAAATGGATATGAAATTAGCAGGCAATGAGCCAATCACAAACCTTTATCAAGCGATCGAGTCGGGGCTAACTGTGAAGGCTTCGACACCAGCGACGGATTCTCAGCCAGATTACCCAAATCCACAGGCGTCAAAGACGATGCCTGCAATCACATTCATCAATAAAAAATAAATCAAAAAAATGGAATCAAAAAATCAAATAAAAAATTAAAAATTGATGTGAGAGAGAGGGATACGCGAGAGAGAGCTACTGCTGCGCAAGCCAGATCGAGCTGGTTCTTAAGAAATTCGCGGTACTGGTCCGAGTTAATCGGAGCCGTCGGAGCTGGATCCAACGCCGCCGGCGGAGGATGATTGAGCTGCTGAGGAGGTTGCAGTTGACGATGGCGATGACGATCGGGCTTCTTGATCTCAACTACCTCTTCGTCCACATCGTCGCGCTTCGACGTCGACGACTGAGACGCGACGGAGCAGGAAGCGGCGGACGAAACGGGAAATTGCTCGGCGACCGATTGGCGAGGAGTGGCGGCCGGGGTCGTGAACTCGTCGAGGAACTGCTCGAAGGCCCACTCCGACGCGCTCCGGTTCATCTCCGCCGGCGACGACAGAGCCCAAAACGTGTCGGAGGAGTCGTCCGCGGTGAACACTGAATGCATACTCTGTGCGGGCGTGAATGTCCGAAATATCCAATTTTTGGTTGGCTGCGTCGACGAGTTGCGAACCTTCGTTGTTTATATTCGGACAAATAGAGGAAAGTTCTGGTGGCGTGCGGCACATGGTAATATTTGTACGGGGGTTTTTAATTTGGTTGGCTGCGTTGATTTGAATAGGTTTGACACATCTCGTGCGATGACTAGAAGATTGCTGGTTCATGTAGCAGAGGATAAGGACCAATTTTTGGTTGGAGGAAGGAGGGGAAAAACCTACGGACAAGACAAGTATTGAAGGACAAATGTGAAATACGAAAGTGAGGGTCCACATGGGTGGGTCCCATGTAAAGTTGAAAAGATGTTGTATGTGTATGACTAACGGAGTTACTCTAGGTTAATTTTTTTACCGTGCGGTAATTACTCTAGGACTTTTAAAAGTGCGGTTAATCACACTGTTGAAGGAATGTATTGTGTTAGAAAGATTGGTTGAAGTTGTAATGAAATGAACCAAAAAAGAATGAATTGTTGATATTTTATCGATAATATGTTGATATGTTTGCCATTATTTGAAACGTACTAATAGGTTAGTGATTTATCTTCGATAATACAGATCCACATCCATTTTTTTTAAAACCTCATCATATACCGGAAATGTTTGTTGGTTTAGGTATGATGATCTCAATTTCCGACCAAAATGTAAGAAAAATATCAGTATGTCTTAGTTTTGTACTACCTGAATTTTACAGAGAATATGATTTATTACTAATTTTCATTGTGCAAAAAGATGAACTACCGTGACTTTGTCACTAGTAAGTCCCCCTTTAAAAAATAAAAATTATGTATAACTAATTGGTAATTGATTTGAGTCATTTGACTAATTCTCAATAACTTTTATCATTTTGATACGGGATAAAGTTACTCCAACTTTTGTTTAATAATCAACAATTATCGTTCATGAAATTTTTAACGATGACCGGAAAAAAAAACAGCTGTAGTGACCCTTGCATATTTTATTTTCGACAAAGAACTTTGAAACTACAACGGTAAGATTTTCACATCAACGGAAAGATTTTGCAACAAAGATGACTAATCTGTGGTTCAAAACAAGAGAAAAAAAAAAGCACACATAAAATGTCTTCAGAGGAGTGCAGATTTTAAAGACTTGGTGAAAGTTGCTATTTCCTTCAACCCTTCCTCGGGCGTTTTCGCTTCGCCCAACAGCTTCACCATCGCACTACCAACGATAACGCCATCAGCTCCCCACCCTGCTACCTGCACAACACACACGAATAAGTATCTCGATTGAAGCAGACGTTTAGCAACAACTGTCATTCTGATATTCTTTTGGTTTGAAGCAGGCAGGACAAAGTCTAGAAAGGGAGAGGGGACAGTCGAATTTTAGCAGGATGGTAAAGTAGAGCTCGTTTGGATGTGTTTTTAAAATGACTGAAAGCGCTTTTGTTGAAAATGTTTTTGAAACTAATTCTTAGTAAAATTGCAAGTATATTCTGGAAAAGCACTTAAAGTGCTTCCTGGAAGAAGCACATAACTGGTGCTTCTTGTAGAAAGCACTTTAAGTGCTTTTGAAACCAAAAAACATTTTCTCTAAAAGCGCTTTTAGTCATTTTAAAAGCACATCCAAACGAACCCGTGGTCTACTGTGGGTGTGGGTGTGAGGCATGCTGAGTTAGGTTAGAATACTGACCTGTTTCGCATGTTCGGGCTTTGAGATGCCGAAACCAACTGCTACAGGCTTTTTTGTTGTCTGTCACATAAAAGGTAAGCATGGTTATGCAAGACAAACATGTTAGTTCAAGTGGGATCATATCAACCGCATATGTTTTCTAGCTCTGTTTGGTATTGAAGCCTTTAAACTTTTGAAAGAAATTCAGTTCAATTCTAGCACCTAATGATATAACGTACTTCAAAACAATTAAGAAATTAAAATCCACGCTGGTAAACTGTAGAACTGATTCAAAAGACAAACCTCTTTAATTTCCTTTAAAAGGGCAGGAACTCGTTCGTTCACAGATGCACGGGCACCAGTAACTCCGATGGAGCTTACCTATAATTCAAAACAACGAACAATAAAATGCAATTAGCAACGTCATATTCACCTCAAGATAGATGAAAGAATTTGTATAAAATTATAAATAAAATATGTTTGCGAAGCAAACAAAACTTGCCAACTTGTTATTGATAGGAAGCCCTCCAAAAATGGAAGTTCTTTGACCAAGACCACATTTAGCATCCACTTTCATGACACCAGTTATCACATGTATTCAATATTTTAATTTCTAATCTAAGTGATAATTCCAGAAAACTGGACATAACTCAATAGATTGTTAAATATATAGAGAATATAAAAGAACAAGGATAGATGTGTGATTCTTACTAGGTACAGAAATCCTTCTGAAGCTTCGGCAATGGCCTTCATGCGATCAATTGGAGTAGTGGGTGTAGTTAGTAATACCTGTAAATCATACAAGCGGATCGGAAGTATTTCAATTACATCCAAAAGTAAGAATCAATAATTTGAAATAATCTAAAAAATCCGAATATAGTGCAGGGAAAAACTAAGAAACAAACCAATTCAATATTATTTTTCACAGCTTCCTTTCTCAAAATTTCTGTTTCTTCCAATGGAACATCTGGAACCACAAGCCCTACAAGCCAATATAAAATAGGAATCTAGTCATATTCCTATAAGATATATATTTTAAGACGAAATCAAGTTCACAAAGGATAAACAGAACTAATTATGATGTTCATAAACATTATAAATCAAGTACTTATACATTACCATGTACACCAACGTCTTTGATGGTGGACATGAACTCCGGAATTCCACGCTTCAAAATTGGGTTATAGTAAGCAAACAGCGCAATTGGGCAAGACAATTGAGGAATCACCTGTACATTCAACAAATTAATATAATGAGATTGTTTCGATGGGAAGAGCGAGAGAGGTGTCAATGTGAAACAAGAACTGTACATAACAACTTCACGATGTCTGTATGCATATCATTCGTAGATTTATTACGTAAGAAACATCATGGGAGAATATGCTACTGTCTTGATATGAATTTTTACTCCTACATCCCACATAGAGATATGTAGTATGGTAATATGATAATAACTTGGATGCTCATAATCAAATTATTTCATGGAATTCAGCAATCAACGTTTCGTTGGTAGTCACAGTAACAGTAATAAATCTAACATACTTTTCACTTGGGATAGAAAACCAACAAATATCAAGTTGTTATAACATAGCATATAAAGATACCTCCTTCAACATTGAAATAATTGCATTGAGATTGGTCCCTCTTGCCAGGGAACGGGTGGCTGCAGCCTAAGAAATAATACACACCAATTAGTGGTGGATAAAAAACAGGAACCTATTGAACATAAATTGTAACAAGAACATGCCAAAGTAGACAATACAAACGGAAAACATATCAAACCTGTATAACTGGACCATCTGCTAATGGATCCGAGTATGGAACACCTAATTCGATTATGTCTGATCCACAAGAATCAAGCACCTTCAATGCTTCTGCCGTGATTGAAAGATCAGGATCACCGGCAGTGATGTAAGGGATAAATGCAACCTTCACAGAAAGACATAATCATTAGAACAACAAAACTTGATGTATAAACCATTTCATCTAAAATCAGTTGCAAATCCCAGTCCTAGTCCTAAGATAAAATTTAGCTGAGAAAACCAAATATTCCAATGTCGATCCATTTTGAAGCATGCATAACAAACAACCATAAACATAACTTGTGACTGATTAGTGTACTATAGCAACTTTGCCAATACTGGTAATGCAGAGAATTTGTTCAAAGCCAAATCGTTCTCAAGAACAAGAACCAAACAAAAATTTTAATCAGTCAGCATCCCTTCCCCGACCCTATTAGGAAATGAAGGCCAACATATGAAGGGGAAATTGAATATATCAAGAACATGGCAATGCCAAAAGCAACAAAAGAGGTATAAAATGTGCATTTGGCTGGTGATCAAAATACGACTAAAAGTCCCAAAATTTTTGGCAGACTTAAGTGGGCAGAGAAAGCCATGAATTTGGTGGTTTTGCAAGTTTTTCAAAAGGGATTTAAATGAAAGAACAAAACATGCAGAGCAAGCACACCAAATCATGAAACTTTGTAAACCCAGCTTTCATTGGGCACCGAAAGCCATGAAATTTGGTGGGTTCTGCAAAATTTTCAGTAGGGATTCAATTGCAAGAACAAAAAATTGAAGAAAGGGGCACACCAAATGATGAAATTTTCAAACCCCATCTTTCATTGGGCATAGAAATCCATGAAAAGTGGTGGGTTCTGCAAAATTTTCAGCAGGAATTCAAATGAAAGCACAAACAAGCATAACAGGCACACCAAATGATGAAACTTTTCCACAATGCAATCGAAATCTCATAACCCAGATGCCCAAAATTTGCTCACCTTTCCCTGCTCCTTCAGATTTATGAAAGTCTGGGAGAGGCTGACGGCTGGGGTGGCGGTGAGAGCCGCCATTGGAGCAAACTTCTTGGTCGAAAGGGTGGATACTTGATTGGGAGAGCGGAGGAGCAATGGGTTTGTGGTTTCTTCAGTTGGAGAAACCCAGCTGCAAATTTAAGAGAGGAAGAAGCAGCCATTCGGTAGACCCAGCAGTGACTGAGCGTTTTGTAGGGTTTTCAGTAGCCTTCTTCTGCCGGGTGTACACTTTGTTTTTACTCTCAATTTTCAAGTACCATTCTTGATTCCTTCTTATCATATTTATTTGTCTCAACCTTTGAATTCCGCGCATATTTTATTTTATCTTTTTCCCCAAATGAAATTTTTATCAATTTATTTTGGGCTAAAAATTTGTGATTGATTCTTTTAGATTTTAGATTGTCAGAGTTAATTTCAAGTTTCCTGAAGAGGGAAATGGGTCAAATTGTTAGGTGCACCTAATATCTTACCTTTTAAATTCTTAGCATATTTCCTCATAAGGAAAAAAAAATTTGAATAAAAGTACAGGGAGTATCTGAAATTTAAAACATTGTAACTTTTCCTTGTATAATCAAATTTAGAAAATTGCGAAATATTTAAGACTCGTTTGGGGTTTTCTACGTGAGAAAGTTGGAAAAATAGTCTCGTAAGCTCTTGACATGCTTTGTAGACAAAGAAATTATGCATTTTGGTGAAAACATGCGATGTCTTATGTTAGATGTAGTCATTCTTACCTTTATGTCAATCAGAATTCAACATGTATGGGTAATTTTTTATTTATTACATTTTAACAAGTTATTTATCTTTTTGTTGATACTTTAAGAATGATTCTTTGTTGATATTATCAAATGTCAATCCTCGTGTCAAAATTTATATTTGTTTTCTTAATGACTTGTTACTATTCCTATTTTGGTACTTGTACAATGTTTTTGGCAAAATATTATACTATTTTCATGCTAATCAGTAATTACTCATATCTAATTAGAGTTCCGCTCTTTTAGTCATCTGCTAATCAAATATCCACCGTCACCTACCTTTGAATTGAGTTTAAATATGAAAGATATTGAATCAATAAATATGATTTTAATATTTTAATCTATGTCATTGATATCAAACTAAGATTAAGTGATCGTGTATTTGTTAATCACTTGATAATCAAGAGAACGAGACTCGATTTTATTTAATAAAGAGGAGAACTCTTGAGATTTGATCCAAGAAACAATCAATTTAACAAAGAAGTGCAGTCCAAAAATTTAGATAAGATCTTGGGCCGGCATATAATGGGCTTCACGTAACAATTGGGCGGCAAAATAGTGGCCCGCCAAGAACCAACGAACAAACCCAAATCAGCAAAATCAAATATAAAGATAAAATAATAATGGCACAAAAAGGTAAATTTTGAGAAATTCAGCCCCTTTTACAAAAGCGAAACATTTTTAACCAGATAAAGCCACCTTCGCTTTTCGTCTCTCTTTTGTCTCTTCGCTCACTCTGAGTCTGAGCAGAGAAAAAAAAAAAAAAAAAAAAAAAAAAAAAACTCAAAAGCAAAAATTTCAAAAGCTCTCTCAAAGCTCAAAGCTTTCCCTTTCCATTTCTCTTTGTTGCATGTAGATGCTCTTTTCAAAAACCCTAACTTGCTCCCCACCGACTCACCTCGACTCGCCCCGTCACTCGCTCACTACTTCCTCGGTTCGTCCTCCTCCTCTCCATGGCCAACAACCCCTCGGAGCCCCAGGCCGACGACTTCCTCGAGCAAATTCTCGGCCTCCCCAACTTTGCCTCCGCCGATGCTAATTTGGCGGGAAGCGACGGCGGTTTGGCCGGAGGACAGGTATCTCCGGCGTCTATGATGCTGCAGCTGAACTCCGTCGACGGGTCCGGCCACCTAGGCGGAGTTGGCGGTGGCGGTGGGTTCCATGGAGGGGTGTTTCCCTTGGGGTTGAGCTTGGAGCAGGGGAAAGCTGGGTTTTTGAAGCACGAGGAGGCTTCTGGGAGCGGGAAGCGGTTTCGAGACGACGTCGTTGATAGTCGAGTTTCATCTGTGAAAAATGTAAGATTTTGTTTGGGCGGTTTTGTTTTGTTAATTCGAAAGTTTAACATTTCAGATGCTGTAATTATAAGTTAATCAATGTTGTTTTAATTAATTGTTTTATTTGTTCGCTTAATAAGCAAGAAGACAAAGGAAAGGAAACAAGGAAAATTGGAAACTTGCAAGAAATTGGGTTTTGATTAATTGGGTGAGATTCAAGTAGTGCTATCTGACAAGAAGTAAGTTACAGGAGGATGCTTCTGGGTTGCCTGAGAGAAAATGGAGCTAAATGGCTGGCCAGAATCAAACAGAAAACTCACAATTTTTAATCTTTTAGTGATGCAAACCAATAGTCCGTAAAATTCTGATGTCAGAGAAAATGGAAGCATGTGAAAAGTGATTGGTTTGCATTTGATTTTAGAGAGAGAGAGAGAGAGAGAGAGTATCCAACCATGGTGATTAATTGTTTTATATTTTTATGTATTCTGTTTCTCAATTGAGTAAAATTCCGGCAGGCCTTAAAATTTTCGAAACAAAGAATAATAATTCTGCTTTCCAAATAAGATGCAGGATTACGGAAACAAAATTTTGCAACTAGTCTTCAACATGTTAGCAATTGATTTTGATACTTCTGTACACATTACATATGTATATACATATTGATGTGTTTACATATATGTGTGTATAAGTATGATGTGTGGTTATGGAAATTCGGAACTTGGATAGGTCAGCCTATTTTGTTGACAATGTTTGAGTTTTTAAGAGCTAGGGACATCTATTAATTGATCAAAATGTTTGATGTAATTTACCTTTTGGGTTTTGCGGTGTCGTGCATTGTTGAGGAACTATCTCACTTTCTTTCATTGCAACTGTTTTTAGTAATATAAACTATATCGTTTTGCAGGTTTTCCATGGCCAACCTATTTCAAATACAGTTGCTGCAGCACCGCATCCACCAGCAATGCGACCAAGGGTGCGAGCTAGAAGAGGACAAGCCACAGATCCACACAGCATTGCCGAGCGGGTAAGTTTGGTATAGTTTACACAAAAAATAATTCTTGGAAATGTTCTGAAACTATGTTTTAATTTTTAACTTTTATTTTCCTCTTCCTCCTTTATGATTATTATGGAATTATTCTTGATTACACCTTTCTGTACAGTTGCGCAGAGAAAGAATAGCAGAAAGAATCAGGGCGTTGCAGGAACTAGTTCCTAGCGTCAACAAGGTCAGTGACACTCCTTTCATGTTGTATACATTTCACGCTCACTAGAAACATGTTGTTTTATGTAGTATGAGGGGAAGGGAAGATTCCCTTGTTCAACAAATTGATAATAGTTGTGTACAAGCCAAGCTTGTAAAAATTGAATATGAAACCAATTTGATAATATGTTAAATCATTTAAGAGAATAACCCCTTTGGAAACCTGGATAGTAAACCTTACTTAGATGTGGTGAATATGGTGGTATTGTTCAGAAAGTTCTGAGACACATACTTTACCTTGAGTGTTGTTCTGAGGTGCATTGCATGAAAAAAATTTGGGGACTTAATCATTTGTAAGTTTATAGGACCTGTTTTCAGTTGTCAGTTTTTCTTTAAAGAATTTCTTCTGCAACTTACGAAGCTGTTGTAATTTATTGGGATGTGTTGTTTCATATTTTGACTGTCGTTAGTAGTACACAGAATTCAACAGAGCTTGTTTCTAAATCCACACAATGGGTTGCTTGCGACTTTTTGAGTGATAACGTGCAAATGGCATTCCAGAAGCTGGTTATGTGACAAATGTTGTAGCAAAATAATTTCAATGCTTGTGCTTTATGGATTTGCATATTGTTACGGCTTCTTGAGACCTCATCATCTGTATTCTATGTACTTCTGTTTTGTGCAGACGGATAGAGCTGCCATGCTTGATGAGATAATGGACTATGTGAAGTTCCTAAGGCTCCAAGTAAAGGTATCGAGTTTAATTCTTATTTTCTTTTTCACGTAAATGATAGAATTCCTAATTACTGAAATCCTCTCATATTTGTCTATTGCTTTACATTCAATTATTTGCTGAAACTATTCTATACTTAAAATGGTCATTAATTTTTAAACGAATTGTTATTCCATAGAGGCTTACTTTCTTTTGATATTAACATTTTCTGATAAATGGTATAAAATTCCACTTGCATGAGACAAATAGTTGTCATCATCATAGCAATGCAATCAGTTACATAAGTGCATTCGCATGATTGAGCAAGTATAGAAAGAAATTGAATCCCTTCCTGGACATTTGTTGTGTACAAGTACAACCAAATACTGGAAGTCATTTACTCTTTTCAAGGGCGGGTTTCGGATTTCCAAATCTTCATATAACGTGTGTCGTTTTGGTAAGATTATCGAATGAAATTATTGTTATTATATTTTATATTGAACAAAAAACAAAAGGGTAGATTTCACTTCTTTTATCTGTGTCGGTTTGACCAATTACTTAAGACCCGAACAAATTTGTTAGGCGTGCGGTGATAGAAGTAGGTCTTTTTATAATGTTGAAAGTGAAGGTTTTTGTCCTTTTCTTGTTAATGCTCAAGTCATCTCCTTTACAGGTTTTGAGCATGAGTAGATTGGGCGGGGCTGGTGCTGTGGCACCACTTGTAACAGATATTCCACTATCTTCAGTTGAGGTAATAGATGATTACATTTTATATTTCCTAGGGATTTTGTTTTCCTCTTTGTTATATTGCTAAAAAAGTTTCTGTTCTAATGGCAGGAAGAAGGCAGCGAAGGTGGTAGAAACCAACCGGCGTGGGATAAGTGGTCTAATGACGGCACAGAACGACAAGTAGCTAAGCTTATGGAAGACAACGTTGGGGCGGCAATGCAGTTCCTCCAATACAAGGCTCTCTGCATCATGCCTATCTCACTGGCCTCGGCAATCTACAACACACAACCTCCGGACACCTCTAGCGTTGTCAAGCCTGAAATGAACCCTCCTTCCTAAGACCTCAGAAGAACGATAGGTATGCATTCCCGCGGTCCCACCCGAATACTCACTAGATGCTCTTGGGTCCCACGCCGTGTTTGTCGTTTTCCCGACCCGCCATATCTTAAGCTTCAAATTGCATTCAAAGTCAGATGCCATAGTTGCTTTTTTTGCCTTTTTCTTTAAGCTTTTGTCCAAACAGGGATCGATGTCAATGCCCTAAAGAAATAGGAGCAGGCCCTTCATGCCTTGCCAGCAAAGGAGGAATTGTCAAAGAACACTTGATATGCTCTGCTTTTTTGCATCAATGGTGGGGGTAGTGGAAAATGATGGAAGCCCTTTTGTAGTGGGGGCTCTAGTATTGTTTTTGCTTAGTGGGTTGTGGGACCTACTACCTTCTATAAGGAATTTTGAGTAGTATATATGAACATATTATGGTTTTTTTTTTTTTTGTATGTTTAGAGTTATGTAATATAGAGGTGGGATAATGAATGCATAATTGTTGCTTAGTTTGAAAATATGCGTGTTGCAAGGGAAGATTCAGGTGAAACGGGGATTTTAAGGTGACAATGTCCCAAATCTATTGTGTGGTGCTATGTGTTTTAACGTTTTCGCATGGTGGTTTAACAGGTTTGAGATACCATCATTTTAACGTTCAAGTTTTAAGTAATTATAAGAAAAATTGAATGGTACTTTTTTTAATGGGTGTAACCGTGTAAGTGGTTCGTGGTCGTGGTCGTGGGGTTCTCTTTAGAAAAGTAATTAGACTTCTTTTTTTAATTCTTTTGAATCATCATTTGAGGATTAATCATTGTAAGAAAGAACCTAACGGTTGTTTTAGAGTTATTTATTTGCACTCAACCCAATCAAATTCAAAGTACAAAATAGGGTTGCTTCGAAGTTATGCTTTCTACCATTTTTCTTCTCGGGGGCTTAGAGTTTCTTTTTTTTTTTTTTTTTTTTTTTGACAAACAACATTGCTATTGGGTTAAAGTGTTAGTTGTTAAGGTTACGGGAATTGTTGAGAGCTTTGAGTTTATGTCACATCCTGGTTCGGGTCCCTATCACATTCCGAGCTTGACTTCACCTTAGCACTATATTGTTCGCTTTGGGTCCCAACCACGCTCTTACGGTTTTGTTTCTGGTAACTCACACGAGAACTTCCCAACAGATCACCCATCATGAAATTGCTCTCGCACGAACTCGCTTAACTTCGAAGTTCCGATGGAATCCGAAGCCAGTGAGCTCTTAAAAGGCCTCATGCTAGGTAGAGATGAGAATATACATATAAGGTTTATATGATCCATTCCCTGGACGAAATGAGATGTCACAGTTTAGGTCAAACAAAATTAACCGTTACTTTGTTTAAGGTATGGAGAAATTTATGCGAAAATTGTTTCAATGATGTGTTTTGTAGGAATTCAGAAAACTGATTAAACCGTTAGGTTTTTTCTTTTAGACGAAAGTAAAAAAGAGAAATGTTAGTTACCATTCCATTTGCCTTTTCCTATCACCTTCCTCAAGTAAAAAAATTACAACGAGAAGCTCCGAGGGCAACAAAGACTAATAAAATCCATAACCAGCCAGATCTAGCCTGCTCCGGCAGGGAATGGATTAAATATTAGAGCTCTTTTTTATTGTTTCTGAAAATGCGATTGTTGATTTTTCACAATATCTTTTCTTGTCTAGTATGAAAATGTTACGAGCTATCTAGATGAATCATAAGTATCTTAGACGGAAAACTTGGTGGAAGTTGACAATAGTAGCTCAAGTGTGACATAAAAATATGATTTAGGGTGCAAGTTAAGGCTGAAATGACCTCAGAATTCTTGGCTGAAGTCACAAAATCAGTATTGGGAGTTCATTTACTAATTGATTTTTCTTTAATTTATTATTATTAAGGGGAGAATTCAGAACTATTACAATAAAGAATGAAAGGTTTCGAAACTATTATAATATTTTAAGGGGGGAGTGGGGAGATTCAAATCCGGAATGCATGGGCGGAAGCCCAACACCCTATCCATTAGGATTTTGGATCACATGCATAGACACATTTACTAATTGAAATTGAATTACATATGGTGTTTGATAATGTTTATACCCGATTTTATACTATCAATCCATATGTTTGAAGCCGTTAGATTAAAAGAAGATCAATATGATTTTTAATAACTTTTCTAGATATTATTATGGTTTCTAAGCATAATCTGAGGTGTTATTGGCAATTGTCTTGAAAGTGCTTGAGAGTAGGATTGCTTATAAGGATCATGATTAGCTTCTGGATGAAGTTTGAATTAATCGCATAATGAGTCTAGGTTCAAAATCCTAGTTCAAAGAAGGTGAGATTCGGTGGTGATAGAGTTTCGGTGGAAGAATGATTTGTAAGGAGTGTGTTGATACACAAAACCGGATGTCTTGGAACAACGTAAATCCGACCGTGAATCTGCATGTAATGTAAATAACACAAGGATTTTATCGTGGTTCACCCCAATGTTTGGGCTACGTCCACACTGTAGTTGATTCTGTTTCTCTGTAATTGTATGGATACAAATGTTTGGGGGAAGTCCCCCGGAGGAGAAAGAAGAGAAGGGAGAGGAGAGCCTCGGTGGTGTGAGGTCTCTCCTGAATGTAATGATAGCTTCTCTTAGCCTTCTTAGGCTTGGTTCTTTTGCCTCCCCTAGAATGAGGGTAGGAGTCCCCTTTTATAGAATAAGGGGCTCCTCCTCTTTTACAAAGTATGGGCTTTAGTGTGAGGCCTAAATACAAGGCCCAAGGCCCAAATATACGAGGCCCTAAATATGGTATAAACAGTAGTCCCCCAAGTCTTCAGTCAAGAGAGTCTTTTGGCTGGAGACTTGAAATTCAGTCCATGTGTGGGCCGAAGTAACTAAATGTCATCTAGAACTGATGCTCGATATGAGGCGGTGCCCAATCTGAAATGATGTTCAACTAGAAGTAGCACATGTTGTGAGACCGCTTTGCTTGTAGCTTATGTTGCCTTGGTTGGTTTGGCTTGTGGCGTTTGAAGGTGAGGGAGTCCCTTTTATAAAATAAGGGCTCGCTCCTCAATACATAAATGATGGGCTAGAGTTGATGCTCACGGCGAGGCGGTTGCTCAGCAGGCGGCGATGCTCTCTAATGATGGTGAGGGAGTCTTTTTTATAAACTAAGGGCTCGCTCCTCGATACATAAATTTAGGCTAAGTCTCCCAAGTATTTTTCATGAGGCCCAGTTGAGGCCCAATATATGGTACATAATGTAGTCCCCCAAGTCTTCGGTCAATAGAGTCTGTTGGCTGGAGACTTCAAATCGAATCCATGTATAGGCCGAAGTGGCGGTTGTTCGGATGTGGTATTTGTATACCCTGCACTGAAGCTTTGTAAGTGAAGCTTTGCAAGTGAAGCTTTGAAGCTATAGCTCTGTAAATGAAGCTTTCGAAACTGGAGCTTTTGTAAATGAAGCTTTTGAAGCTAGAGCTCTGTAAATGAAGCTTTTGAAGCTGATTGACATGAGTGATGCTCATGAATGTTTATGTTGATTGACATGAGTGATGCTCATGGATGTTGTCATGAGTGATGCTCATGAATGTTGACATGAATGATGGTCATGAATGTTTATGTATGATTATCATGAGTGATGCTCATGAATGTTTATGTATGAATGACATGAGTCTTCGCCTGGTTGGTGCTTTTTCAAGCTTATGGGTCTTCGCCTTCCACAACATGTCAGCCCATTTGTTTTGGGCTTGTCGTTGTTCTTTTTTTTTTTTTTTTTTTTTTTTTTTTTACCCTCTGATGGGTTTATACATATTACCCACTGATGGAGTTTATACATATGTCTCCGAAAGATAATAAATTACATCATTCTGGTAGAATGTTTATTCCTTGCTTTTCTTTCTCTTTTGCTTTCTGCTTTTATTTTTTCTCTTTTCCACCGCACTGCATTTATTATTCTCTTGTTGAGGTCCAAGTGCATTAGCCTTTGCAGATGGCAGACAAAAGTAAAGTGAAGTTCTCTTTACTTTGCTTTACTTTGCAAATTGCAAGTGGCGGGGGCATGACTTGTCTTTACAGCATCTTCTGGAAAGTCAAAAAGTAGCTTTCAGGGCCACTAGCAGCAAGAGTTGTCTTCTCGCCAGCGCGGCTCCCCGGAGCTCGTCGCGCTTCTGTTGTCCTTGAAGGTGAGTACCGAGACCTCGCCAGAGACATTTGTCGCGGACCATCAAACCAGCTGTTCCTTTCAGAAAAGGGTCTGTGATGGTGAGACCGTACTTTCCAGTGAGCGTGAGAGTGACCGGCAGTGAGAGAATGGCAGAGTGCTGCTTGCGTCCGCAAGACGGAGTCCGACTGCGCCGACGAGGGCTGTAGCTTCTGCTTCGGCTTCTGCACCTGGCCATTGTTGCAGCTAGAACTTGAACCTTGAGCGCGCAAAACCCTAACCCTAGGTTCCCAGTCTGATAGTTTGTGGATCCATGGCAGATCCGCGCAACCTTCCCGGCAGATCCCAACGAAACTCCGGATACGATACCCAGATTTTCTGGACTTCTTGAAGCTTCGATCTCACGGCTTCCAGCCGGGCCACCCTCAGCAGTTTCTTCGTTTCCTCCATTGTCAATCCCGATTTCTCCATCGGCGAGCTCTTCGACTCGGGTTCTGGCGGGGCCAAACCGTCCAATTGGATCCGGTCCAGGCCGACGACCACGACTTTGAGCTTCTCCATCAGGTTTGCCCCCATCGGCAAAGACCAAATCTCCTGCTTCTGGAAATTCCCCGCCGATGACCTTTTGTGGAGGAACTTCCTGAAAATGGCAAAGACCAGATCTCCTGCTTCTGATGTTGGACAAGTAGACAGCTCGGGATAGTAGAGATTTGGCTTCTTCATCCCCTAGTTTAATGGCTTATTCATCCCCTATGTTTCAAGTGGACAGAGTAGAAGGAATGGGACAGAGGGTTTTCAATTGCTTCCTACAGAGCTCATTGTTTCCTGCAAACTGATATGTTTTCTGACTGAACAGAGGCCGCGAGTCCGGTATCGATCCGATCAAGTTTGTTGAAAGGGAGATTAATAGTGGAGTTCTCCGGAACCCTTTTCGTGAAACTAACTGGAAATTTCCCAGAGATTTTGTTGTAGGAGAGGTCCTCACGGATAAAGAATGCTTGCTGACCATTAATGTGGATTTGAAAATCGGAGACGTGTGGCATGGCAGCGGCGGAGAGGACGAGAGCTAAGACGAAGAAGAAGCTCGACCTGTCGATTGTCGACCTGGCGCGAAGTTCTTTGCAACGTCATCGAATGGGGCCGCTCTGGCGTCGTTTATCAAATCACCATTTCCGCCGAGATGAGGAGAGAGAGAGCTTACGAGATGCATATGGGTTTTGATGTGCCTGACCAGAGCCGATGTCCCCTGGTTTTTTCTGGGTCCGTGCCTGTGGTGTCTCCATATGTACTCCGCTTCCCTCGAATCACCATCCCTGCTGCTCATTTTTCTATTAAGTATTGTTTCTTTTTAATCTCTTCATCCCTCCATCCTTCGAATCGACGACGGGAGAAGGAAGCAATACTGGAACCGCCCCTTAGAGAGAGAATGCTTTTCTTTAT